GCGTCGTCCGGCTTGCAGCTCCGCCGCCGCGCCCGCTCCCCAGCCGTTTCCAGGCTCTCCGCCGCCAGCACCGGAAAAGCGCTCCCGTCCTCGCCGCGGGGGACGTTGTCGTCGGCTCGGACGCCACCATGGTACATCCGGCAACTCTTCGGCTCCGCCTTACGCTTGATGTGTTCGACACATGACCGACCAGAATTATTGTGATTTTGTTAGGTAAATGATGGATTCCGATGCTTCATCGGACGACGAGTATGGAACAACGGAGCTTGACCAAATGATTCAAAAAGAGTTCTTCGATTCGTCGGATTCGGACGAAGAAGTGGGCATGATCATGCTCATGAGCATGCAATAGGAAATGGACCGGCAAATGGAGCATATTCTCAACTTTAAGGGCTCAATAAAAGGGAGAAGAGTGATCAATCGGGACAGAGTGTCCGGAGCAAAGCTACTACACAATGACTACTTTGCTCTCACACTTGCTTTTCCGAATAACCCATGGTTTCGTCGCCGTTTCCACATGCGGAAACCATTGTTTTTGTGCATTGTGGAAGCACACCACGACTACTTCAAGCTGAGAAGGGATTGTTGCGGCCAACTCTCTTTCTCGGCCAAGCACAAGTGCACGGTTGCTCTGAGGATGCTTGCACTTGGTACTGCTGCAGACGCCGTTGGTGAGATGGTTTGGATGAGGGAGAGCCCGTGCCTCAAGACTACTGTCAAATTTGCTCGCGTCGTGGTTGAGGTGTTTGGACCGGAGTATCTCAGAGAACCAAATGCGCAGGACACGGAGAAGTTGTTGGTGATTGGAGAGGAAGGAGGTTTTCAGGAATGCTCGGATCAATTGATTGCATGCATTTGCAATGGAAAAACTGCCCCAAAGGTCAGCGGGGAATGTATCAAGATCACACCAGAGAGGCCACCATCATACTAGAAGCGGTGGCATCACATGACTTATGGATTTGGCATGCTTTCCTTGAAATACCCGGTTCTCACAACGACATCAACGTGCTTCAATGTCTCCGGTGTTCAGGAGGCTTTGCAATGGGGAATCACCGCCATGCAACTACACTGTCAACAGTCGGGACTACAACATGGGGTACTATCTTGCCGATGGTATCTATCCTTAGTGGGCGGTGTTTGTGAAGACCATATCTGAGCCGCGTGGCAATAAATAGAGCCACTTTACAACAATGCAGGAAGCGGCTAGGAAGAACGTGGAGAGGGCATTTGGTGTGCTTAAGACTCGTTGGGGAATTATGCGGAGTGCTACAATGATGTGGGAATCAGAAACTTTGTGGCAGCTGTTGACGTGTTGTGTTATTCTGCACAATATAATTGTCGACGATGAGGGTGATGGTGTAGCCCAAACCCATGATTTCGAAGCACCCAGAGAACAAGTTGAAATCCCAGAAGATCAAGATGCGGCTCAGCTTATGAACTTTCTGCAGATGCATTAGAATCTTTGAAATCAGCAGGTGCACACGTAGCTACTCAATGATCTTGTGAAGCACATGTGGAACAACAATGGCAACCAAGGAGACAGTGCTTGAGTTTGGCATTTCAAATAAATTTTATGTAAACACTATGTATGCTTGATACCAACATTTGTTACGACATTGTAATGCATGATCGACGCGCATGTATTTACATGGATTTGAGATATGTGGATGCACGAAAGAAAATATGAGGGCTCGTCCGGATGTGCCCACGGACATGTCCGGACGCGTCCACGGATGTTTGAAGGATCGGATTTACCAAGTCCGGTTGTAGATACTTTAATGAATCATCAAAGGCTAGACCCAAACCCAGAGCCCAGGTTACACAAGCAACTCAAGGAACCACCTAGCCTACGCTATTGTTGTACTCCCTCCGTTTCTTTTTACTCCGCATATAAGATTTGGTCAAAGTCAAACTACACAAGGTTTGAACAAATATACCCGGTAACTTATTTTGTGTAATACCATGGTAATATAAAAACTGCAGACTTGATAACCTATATAAAAACAACATGATAACTTTTGTCTTTGGAATTAATTTTGTTGAAAACATACATGATAACTTATATGTAAATAACATGGTAATATACACCACAGACACGATAACTTATACACAAATATTATGATAACTTTTGACCGGAGAAAAAAGGTTATTGAAAATATATGACATAGTAACTTATGTGTAGATAGTATGGTAATATACGTACCACAAAGCTGATAACCCATGTACAAACACTATGATAAATTTTGATCCAGAAGGAAAAATTGTTAAAAAAAATATGTCCCTGATTAATTATGTGTAAATAGCGTGGTAGTATATGCATCGCAGATCTGATAATCTACGTACAAACACAATGATAACTTTTTGACCCTAGAGGAAAGGTTGTTGAAAAACATACCATCCGTAAATTTCGTGGAAATAGAATGGTAATATCTACACTGCAGAACTGATAACTATGTATAAACACCATGGTAATTTTTGACCCGGAAAAAAAGCTATTGAAAAACATTCTCCGATAAGTTTTGTGCAAATATTATGACAATATACAACCGTAAACATGATAACTTACGTATAAACACCATAGTAACATGGACCAGGAGAAAAATTATTGAAAAACATACTTCTGATAAATTATGTTGAAATGGCATGGTAATATACAAATCATAGACCTAATAACTTAATTACAAACAGCATGATAAATTTCGACCTGAGGAAAAAAATGTTGGGAAACGTTACATGGAAAACAAAAAATATTCTACGCACATGCAATGATCTATTCATGAAGATGCATAGCAATGAGAGGGGGAGAGTGTGTCTACATACCCTCGTAGACTATAAGCGGAAGCGTTTCATAATGCGGTTGATGTAGTCGAACTTTCTTCGCGCTCCAACTGATCTAGTACCGAACGCATGATACCTCTGCGTTCTGCATACGTTTAGCTCGGTGACGTCCTCGACCTTCTTGATCCAGCAAGACGGTGAGGTAGTAGATGAGTTCTGGCAGCATGGTGATGGTGATGGTAAAGTGATCTCCGCAGGGCTTTGCCCAAGCACTACGAAAATATGACCGGGATGTAAACGGTGGAGGGGGGCACCGCACACAGCTAGGCAATTGTCTATTGTGTGCTAGGCGCCCCCTCCCACATATATATAGGTGGGATGGAGGGAGGAACAACCAAAGAAGCTGCCCAAGTAGGAGGAACCCTACTTAGGGTCCCTCCCAAGCCGCGCCCCCTTTCCTTATTTGGAGTGCGGGGAAAGGCAGGGGAGGGTGCCCCTCCTTCCTTTCTCCCATGAGAGGGAAAGGCAGGAGGGGCTAGCCCTCCCCCTTTTCCTTCCTAGGGTTGGCCAAACAAGGGAGGGGGCGCACCAGCTCCCTTATGGGCTGGTCTGTCCCCTCCTTTGGCCCATAAGGCCCATAACTTGCAGAGGAGTGCCCGAAACCCCTTCTGTTGACCCGATTACTTCCCGGTACGCCCCGAAACACTTTCGGTGTCCAAATATCATCGTCCTATATATCAATCTTTACCTCTCGACCATTTCGAGACTCCTCTTCATGTCCGTGATCTCATCCGGGACTCCGAACAATATTCGGTCACCAAATCATATAACTCATATAACACTATATCGTCAACAAACGTTAAGCGTGTGGACCCTACGGATTTGAGAACTATGTTGATAACCGAGACACCTCTCCAGTCAATAACCAATAGCGGAACCTGAATGCCCATATTGGCTCCTACATATTCTACGAAGATCTTTATCGGTCGAACCGTTATGACAACATACGTAATTCCCTTTGTCCATCGGTATGTTACTTGCCCGAGATTCGATCGTCGGTATCTCTATACATAGTTCAATATCGTTACCGACAAGTCTCTTTACTCGTTCCGTAATACATCACCTCGTGGCTAACTCCTTAGTCATTTGCTTGCAAACTTATGATGTGTATTACCGAGAGGGCCCAGAGATACCTCTTCGATACTCAGAGTGACAAATCCTAATCTTGATCTATGCCAACTCGACAAACACCTT